CCATCAGATGGATGGGGGAGGACATCAAGTGCATGGATTATAAATAACACCACACAGGGTATTTCAACGACTATTGAGTCAAACATAACCTTTACCTTCTCCGCATTTAATCCGGACACTTTTTCAGTAAATACCGAGTTTGTTGTTTATATCGGAATCATCTTGGTTGGATTGTTTGTCTTATTTTTTGGATTGTGTGTCGTCACCTATGTGTATCAAAAATGTACTCAGAGAGCACACATCAGAAACGCACTCGAAAACAATCTAATCGACCAGTTTGTACAGTATAAGACTCTAAATTTTGCAGTTGGAGAGCAAGATTTTATGTTAAACCAAGAACAAAGAGGAAGATTGAAATCTGATCCGACATATTTGTCTCCAGTGTTCTATAGTGGCACTCCGTATGAGGAAGTTGAATCACTCAATAATCCTGTGAACGAGAACATGGTAATAAAGAACGAAGTTGTTGATGAAGCCATAGAAATAGTACAGGAAACAATTCCACAAATTATTCTGGAGGAAGGGGGCTCAGACTTGGCATCAGAACATCCCCCGAAACACATTTATGTGAAGATTGTTGATGAGAACGAATCGGAATATATAAGCAAAAATGTAAATATTGAAGATTTCAGTAATAAGAGGCATAGTCCTGATGGCAGAGAATCTGGATATGTCAATTCATAGAAAGTCAATTACACGAAGTGGGGGAGGAATGTGAGAAACAAATATTTCAACTATGTGGTATAATCATGATTTATTTATTGAATTTTGACATTGGCATACATGTGTCAGTATTTTTTTTAAAAAAGGTAGCAAAATTCTTATTGTTTGTGCACACAACTTGCAATAAAGAAAATTAAACCCCTGAACTTGTTTAGCTGGGTCATTGCATAATAGACAGACGTTAAATATATAATTAAACAAGACTAGCTTAATCATCCAAATATTAAACCTTATCTGGCATGGATTTAACATAGTCTGTACTAAGAATTAACAGTTGATAAGAATATCGTTTGTCCCAAGAAAATGAATTTACTTATTCGCTCACCAGAGCCGAAGGCCCAAGTCAGCTTTTCTGATCACATTCTGCCCAACGTCTGTCTGTCTTTCTGTTCGTCTGTATTTTTTTTTTCTTATTCTCGACTTGTATCAAGAACCACTTGGTCAATTTCAACCACACTTGCCATAATGTGTCCTTGGGTAAAGGGCTACGCTTTCTTCCAATGAGAGATATTTACGAATTTGTGAAAAATTACGACATCTTTTAAAAATCTTCTCCTCAAGAACGAATGGAAAATTGCGATCAAAGTTTTATACATAGGAATACATAGAAAAAATCTTTTAAAAAATGTTCAAGACAAGCAAAGCCTTGGTTAAACATATATAATTATACAAAGATCCTCCGATAGTGTAGATTCAAGATTGTTCATGACCCCTTTGCACAGGGAATAGTCAAAATTCGGCGATCAATGTTTTACTGTTTTACTTAGAAATATATAGGAACAAGATGTGTTTGTGAAACACTGATGCCCCCGTATGGCAGCTTATGGCGAAGGTTAAAGTTTCTTCAAATGCAAGTCAAAATCCAGGCCAAAAGATAAAAAATGTTGATACCCAAAGAAAGGTCTTGTCTCGAGGAATACACCTGTGAAATTTGAAAGTCCTAGATACAACTGTTCAAAAGTTATGGCGAAGGTTAAAGTTTTTTAAATAAAAGTCAAATGTCAAGGTCAAGGTCAAAGTGGTTGGTATCCAAAGGAAGGTCTTGTCACAAGGATTACATATGTGAAGTATGAAAGCCCTAGCATCAACCATTCAAAAGCTATGACCAAGGTTAAAGTTTTTCAAAGGTAGGTCAAACTCCTAGGTCAAGGTCAAAAGGTCAAAGTGGTGGTTGGTATCCAAAAGAAAGGTCTTGTCGCAAGGATTACATATGTGAAGTATGAAAGCCCTAGCTCCAACCATTCAAAAGTTATGGCCAAGGTTAAAGTTTTCAAAAGTAGGTCAAACTCCTAGGTCAAGGTCAAAGGGTCAAAGTGGTTGACATCCAGAGGAAGGTTTTGTCACAAGGAATACACATGTGAAGTTTGAAACCCAAAGCACCAACTGTTCAAAAGTTATGGCCAAGGTTAAAGTTTTTCAAAAGTAGGTCAAACTCCAAGGTCAAAAGGTCAAAGTTGTTGGTATCCAAAGGAAGGCCTTGTCACAAAGAATACACATGTGAAGTTTGAAACCCCAAGCACCAACTGTTCAGAAGTTATGGCCAAGGTTAAAGTCTCATAAAATTTTGCAAAAGTGGGTCAAACTCCAAGGTCAAGGTCAAAAGGTCAAATATGATGGTACCCAAAGAAAGGTCTTGTCACAAGGAATACACATATGAAATATGAAAGTCATAGCTCCAACCAATCAAAAGTTATGGGTAAGGTTAAAAGTTGACAACAGACAAACAGACAAACAGATAAACAGACAAACAGACAGACAGGACAAAAACAATATACCCCCGGGATCTTTCGATCAGGGGGCATAAAAATCTTCTTTTTTTTCAAGAACAACAAAGCCATGATTGATCATATGTATATGGATCGAAGCATCCTCAGAAGGTGTAGGCTCATATATGTTCAAATAATGACCCCTAAAGGAAGGGAACGGTCACAATGGGCGAAAGTTTTAAAAGGAATATATAGGAAAAATCTTTAAAAATGTTCTCAAGAATAGCAAAGCCATGAATAGCTATGTTTATACATAAGCATCCTTTGGTAGTGTAGATGAAGATTGATCATTCATGACGTTTTTTTTTAATTCATAACCCCCGCGAATAGAAAGGGGTACCAATATGGGATCAAAGTTTTTTAAAGGAATATATAGGAAAATCAATAAAAATCTTTTCAAAAACAGCACAGCCATGATTATTCACATTAATTCAGAAACAACCTCTGATATAGTGTAGATTCAAGTTTGCTTAATTCTTGGCGGGGCCACAACGGAAGATCAAACGTAAAGGAAAAGTCTTGCAAAATCTTTTATAGCCATGATTAGTCAAAAAACGTATGGAAGCATCCTCAGTCAGTGTAGATTCAATTGTGTTCACTTTTCTTCCCCGGGTTTAATACCACTAATATATATAAACTTTTCAATGCTGATTTCTTCTTCCTAACCCAAGTGTTCAGGTAAGCGATGTGGGCCATGGGCTTCTTATAAAGGACAAGTCCAGAAAATGTATATATGAATAATATAACATATATATAACGGGTTTCTTTTAGCGGTGTAAATATAGGATTTTGCCCCAAAGGTGTGTCAATTTTGGCGGACTAGAGTTCTATGACGCTGCAGTACCATAATTATGTACCGATTGTATCTTGACATTTTTTTAAATGAAATATGGCGAAAACGAACAGTAATAAAAAGTCCATTGGAAGTCCATTGAAACAATACAAATCGGGTGCAGAGCTAACACGGACCTCTAAAAAAGCATCTGTGGAGGGATCATGTGTCACAAAGGAGTAAGCATCCCCTGTCGACTGGTCACACCCGCCGTGTGATCATTGTCGTGATCGGGAAACGGAATATCGTAAAGTTTTGTTGTTAAACTATAAATTTTCCACAGGAATTTGATGTCCAGTCAAGGGTTTATTAGTAATGTAACATGAAAAAATGTTCATTGCTTATTGGCATTACGGTAAGAGGGAGAAAAGAAAGTTCAAGGTCACAGGGAAAATTAAGGTCAGAAAATGATGACACATTTTTATAGCTTTTAATAATTTGTAGAAGTGTATATAGTTTAATGAAAATATCCTATCTTCTTTAAAAACTGAATTTAGACACGATAAATAGTAAAGTCAAAGTTAAATGGAAGGTCGGCTTAAAATTCAAAGGGATATTGTTGATAAGTTCTAAACAAATTATGATTCGGTGTATGTGTTTTGATAAAATTGTCTTAAATCGTTTTATTATAACTAAGCTAAATACAAAATAAAGAAAACACCCAAGTCATTCACATTAAAAAAAAATTCTCATCAATGTGTACTACTATATATGTTTAGATAAAAATATCCTAAATAGTTTCTTTAAAGCAACGCCAAATGCAAAATTTAAAATTAGTACCCCTGTTCTATTCGTAACGCATTAGAGCAGAAAACCAAAGCTGAATTGCAAAATGCATGAAGCAATATACTATAGTCATCTCCGAAAACGGACAAGTGTCTTAGTACAAAAGATACATGCATAAGTTAACTGGAACACAAAAACAGAATAATCATGTTTAAGTTGATATTATTGACATCATAAAAACGATGTAAATTGCAACCGAAAAAATCTCAAGGACTGAGATTCAGGTGTGAACATTTACCGTATGCTGGTATATATTGAATATACCTATGTTATTACTGCTACAATTTACATATTTTTTTTCATTTTTTATCAAGGAACTGTAGTGTTACATTGTAAATTCATTTTATCGGATTAACTTTGTTACACAGTGAACTCGATAAAATTAATTATTATACCCTACTGATTTTTCCCCTATATAACATTAGGTCATTAGTGACTAATTCCCTAGAAATCGTTAAGAATGGACTAATCCCCGTGAGTTAGTCAAGTGAGCTAATCCCTGCTTCGAAAGCTAATTCCCGGTTATCCATAATCCTCTAGATTTTACTTTTACATTCGTATGATATGTGAATGGACTAATCCCCGTGTGTTAGTTCAGTGAGCTAATCCCTGCTTTGAAATCAGGCTATCCGAATTCTTCACATTTTACGTTTGTATCGGTATAATAAAACAGTTAAAAGTATATCATTGCGGGAGTTAGCAAGATTCCAGTTCCCCTCGACCAAGACTATTTACCTCGGCTTCGCCTCGGGAAATTGTCCTGGCCTTGGGGAACTGGAATCTTGCTAACTCCCTCAATGATATACTTTAACTGTATATTAACAATGTACCAGTACAATAAATTTAGTCTCTGATTTTTCGAAATAAACAAATTAAAACAAATACGAAATCCATTAATGTTTTTAACGTATTTATTTACACTCTGCTTGATATACTTTTCACCAGTGGGTTTTCCAACCAGAGAAAGAGGAGTATGTACCGTAGACGTAGACGTTGCTGCTTCTTGTTTGAATCCAGACCTGGTTATTCTTTCCTAGCCACATTGCCACGGTACTCCCACACTGTTGGTAGGTATTGGCACAGTTAGTACTTTGGTAGGCACTTCCATTTCTTATCAAATGTACGTTGCCATTATATCTGCTTCCCTTTAATAGGGCAAGTGACCAGGAAAACACATACAGACCCTCAGACGGGGCAGTGAAGCGGTAATTACTGGTACTATAAGCGTTTCCATGATTTAAAAGCAATCTGTTGAAGGCTATAGTTCGGCTACTACTGTAGGTTGTGCCGCTTGATGTCACTGCAGTGAATGCAACATCATTTTTGTGGGAACCTAAAGAAATCAGAGAAAACTAATTGATTGTTTTTCAGATAAACAAAGCTTATTCTCCCAAGGAAATATCCACCCTACGAGACTAATGCACAAACTAAGAGTACGCCTTTAGCAATGTTTAATATACCTGGTAATTTACAACTGGTTGATACATTTAAATTTCTTTTGCAAACTGCGTTTTAATCAATTGTTTGTCATTTTTATGAATACATTTTCTGTGAGAAATTTTGACCCCCCCCCCCCAAAAAAAAAACAAACTTTCTTAAAACTTACGCTGGATCACATTATTCCATCTGATAAATAGTTATTGTTCAAACTTTTTTTTTTCGTCTGAGGGGGCATAAAACAAAGTTTGCACGAGAATTAAAATAACCGGTTAAAAAAATAGACACACTGTCATTTAAATCTGTGGAGAAGGCTTATATAGGCTATGCCTGCTGCCCAATTCATTTTTGTTTCAGTGCATAATAAAATATGTTCAAATCAAATCAATTTTAAATCTTTTGAAATATTTCAATTATTTAGAACACGTCGTTGTGAATTTTGATGAGAGACAGTGCATGGGAAACAAACTCCAGCGCAAGAAGCATCTTGTATTATTTGCCGGCGTTTCAAAATTACTAATTAAATTGAATAAAAAATATTTTAGATCACCAAGGTACCGATATCACCGACTCTCGCTGCCAATTCTAATCCATGTTTCAAATTCCCGGCTTGTCGCATTAAGTGGGCCATCAAACTTCTCCCTTCCGTCCTTTTTGTCGAGGCCAAAATGCAAATCCATAATAACAGGAAAACGTGCCTCATTTTAGCCTATGTTCTGGATTTAATTCCTAAACTGGAAATTACAGATTGATTAATTTTTTTGATATGCTTTTATGTAACATATGATAATTGCAATAAAATTTAGTTTGCCTTCATGTATTAAAAAAAACAACAACCAACAAACAAAAAAAAAACTAACAAACACAAGATTACATGTAAATAATAATGTATACATGTAATTAGCATTCAAATTCAATTGGAGTCTCTCTCTCTCTCTCTCTCTCTCTCTCTCTCTCTCTCATTATAAAAATATATACCAAATAATTAATTACCTAATTCACGATGGAATGCCTATTAAACGCAAAAATAGATATGAACAGACCTTATATATAACAGCATATTTCATTCGATAGAATTTTAAACTATATTGAACAGTACTTTTAAGAGAGCATAAATCAAGCACTGCAGCTTACGGAGGCGTTCAACATGTTTCATGTACGATTAGTGGGTAAAATGCCTACCAATATTTAACTATGTATGTCCTTGGTATTGGCAAGTGTAAATTAGGAACAATTGGACATAGTATGCAGTGTTCTTCAAAGCAACTTAAAACCTCTTAGCATAAGCAGCAGATGTCTTGTAGTGCATTTTGACATTGGTTAATTTCTATGGGACCCCGTAAAAACATGGCAACGTAAGCACTTCAGCACTTTAAGCACGACAATATTTACAGACAATTATTACAAAATATATATAAATGGCTTTGAAAATAAATTTCTTCGCCAAAGGAAAGGGAAACTTTTTTTTCAGTAGGATTTGATTCTTATATGTTCCTTTTCAATATAATTCTTTACAATTTTTCTTTTCTTAAACTTAAAAATTGTACATAATTATCAAATTTTATTGAGAAGTCAATTTGAGTTTGCGCAAAAGAATATTTTATAATTCATCTTTTCAAAGAAATTATATAAAAGGAATTTGCGACCGGAATAATATCATAGAATGATGTATTTTCAAAAGACACATTAATTTTAAGGTAGGCAAGACTTTTATTAATATTTGTTGTTGCAGGGTACGATATGATGCAAAATTTTAGGATACTATCCTTTCTCCTGATCCTATGTACATGGGGCAGCATAGTGTCTGGGAAAAGTTTGCTTGCAAATTTAATGAAACAAGCAGAAACCCTTCAACATGGTCTTGATTTAGCATCAAAAGTGGGTGATATAGGTAAATGTACAACATAGTTCCCTCTCTTTGTTTAATAAATTACCAGTAATCTTTGTAAAATTTAATACTTAAAATATCAAAATTAAAATATAATCTAAAACAAATCCTGCAACTAGAAGTTGAAGATATTACAAAATTCTGATCCATTAAAAACAGGGTCACACAGAAATGATGTAGCATTCACTGCTGTGCCATCAAGTTCGTGGTCGTACAGCTCAGGATCTGTGATAAGGTTTAATTCAGTCAAAATCAACCATGGAAATGCTTTCAGCACCAGTAACTACCGTTTCACGGCCCCATCTGCTGGTCTGTATGTCTTTTCCTGGAGTATTGCCACTCACAGCAGTTATTATGGGCACTCAAGGCTGATAAAAGATGGGTCAACATATCACCAGACTCACTGCCAGAGAACCTATGAGCAGTGTGGTTCTACCGTTACTATCTGGCTCAACAAAAATAACCAGGTCTGGATAACATCTAGGAGTTCCAGTTTTTATGCATATGGTACATACTCGTCCTTTTCTGGGTGGAAAATACACTAAATGTTTGTAGGCTTCGTGACAGCTGCTCTATTCCTGTTTCCCGGCAAAAAAAAATTAATAAAAAATATCTCAAGTTGAAAGGTTGCATTTGTTTATTGTCAAATACATGTAGGTATTAATTTTCAATAGTTTGAGAAGAAAATATGAGGCAGGTACCATGAAAAAATATATTTTTACTTGAAAATATTCTGTCAGTGTACATTGAGAGGCCAACATTCACATGTGCAGCACAAGATTAACAGGGTAAGATGAATAAACTCCCACCTATGACTCTATCTTGGACTTATGACTTGAATTTTACTACTTAGTATTTCATAGATGTGTTCTTTTTCACAATGCATGTAGTTTATCTTGCAAATGTCCTGGTGTAAACCAAAGGTGATTTTTAAATAACACACTGCATTTTCATTATCATCTACATATCCAGGGAGGTCCCAGGGATCTGAATCCTGGGGACACATACTTCACACTACAGTAAAGAGCTAAAAAAAATTCATTGTTCATGCAAACATAGAGTTAACTTATAGGGATGATTATTTTTTTATTTAATGATCAACTTAGCTCCTCTCCGAGGTCTAAACCCTGAAACAAGAGCCATGATTTACACTATTTTTAGATTAGACCTAACTGCAAATCATGCAAACAGCATGCAAGATGTTGCAAGACATAATCAATGAATTCCACTTCAATAAGTGGGTTTTCATATTTAGGCGTCTTTGGTGCAGATACTGATAGGACTTCTGTAGCCCTAATTCATGATTATGCCAACCGCCCCACACCCAGTGAATGCACTAAATTTTAAATACGTCAATTTACATAAACGTACAGTATATGACAAACTTAACTCCTCTCCCTTTTCAATGTCTGGGACATTATTAGTTATCCAGGTTCAATCAAGGGTGTACGAAGATTTCCACGAGTTTTATTCCATACATCCTGAGGCTGAAGGCTGAAGAGTGTATGGAATAAAATCTGGGGTAAATTCCCATACACCCTTAATTGGACCTGGACAACAAATTTATTTCCTATATAACCAAATGAATTCATTTTACACCCAAGTCCAAACATTGGTGTTTCAAACTATAGATAAGATTTATTAAGTGCTACAATGCATCGTGACGTCATGTTATTTGCTTTTTGTGATAGAGAAACTATGCATTGTGACATGTTATTTACTCCTAGCTCAAGTCGAGTGTACGGAAATTTACATCTGTCTTACAAACCAATCAATTCTTGTGTTACAACTAAGACAGCCTAAGACCAAGACTTTAATCCTGAACCCAGGGAGAAAAAAATCATAGTTTTAATAAAATTTATAAAAAAAAAAAATTGTTATCCTTCATCCATTGATGATATTTACCGGGTATTGTCTACCGATAATTGAAAATGGCTCAACTTTTTCAGAGAGAAAGGTGTAAATATTGAAAAGTTTATGAACCACTCAGAGTGCAAACTACACATTGACTGATGAGAATAGATAGCAATAGGTCACCTGAGTGTCTCAGGTTTATGTTTATGTTTCACAATATTAAGACCATGGAATGTGTTCAAAAAAGATGAATTCAAATACAGACATAAAATTCTCTAATACTGATATGCTATCAAGTCAAAACATATTAATACGTTATACAAGAACACACAATCACTTGATATGCATGATATATGTATATTTGATATACAAGGCATAAGTATATCAAATGTTCTTTGTTTAAGATCAGATTCTCTCCATACACATGGCAATTCCCATCCCCCCTCCAACACAAAGAGCTGCCACACCCCTTTTTTTACCAGTCCTTTTTAGGGAATGTAGCAATGTCACTAGAATTCTGGCTCCTGAGGCTCCTATTGGGTGTCCTATAGCTATTGCTCCACCATTAATATTAACCTTGGAAAATGAAATATTTCTGCATTTAAATTCTGCTTTTAGAATATACAGTTTATCTTGTTTAGAAGGGACCATTGATTGAGAGCTGTCTATGTATAAGAACTATCTAAATATTCTTCACATTGAATCACATCATACTACATGTAGTAGAATCAAGGAAAGCATAGTGAAGTAAAAACACACCTTAGCTGGATCACAGCCGAGTTGTTTGACGACAGCTACAGACTGGGCAGCAAAGGCTTCATTGACCTCAAACAGATCTACATCATCCACTGTCCAATGGGCCTTCTCCAGCTTTTATCAAATTTAAAAAGTGAAATCATATTGACTTGTTGCTTTTTGATTTTCCCTATTACAGTGATATTTAAAAATGCTTAAATGTATTGGTATTAGTGAGATACATTTAACTTTCCTTTCATGTAAAATAAGGTTCAACAAATGCAATAAATTTATAATTGGCTCTTAATATCACATTTTAGCTTACTGCTTTCCTAGTGGCATCTACTGGTCCCATGCCCATAATAACTGGATCCACCCCCACCTGTGCCCAGGATACAATCTTACAAAGTGGCTGTAATGACCTAGATCTAGCTTCATCTGCACTCATTAACACACAAACAGCTGCTCCATCATTTAAACCTGCAACCAGATCACAATTCAAAAACTTAAATCTAAAAGGTGATATGAAATAAGTTCTTATAGTTCTTCAAAAATAAACAAAAATAGTAAAATAAAAGTTATATGGAGAATTTTCAAAGAACATGTGTTGCCTGCAGCTACTCCAATGAAAATAAGTTTAGAAATTATAATGACATTTTATAACTATTTAAAAAGGACTACACTATATGTTTCAAAAAAACAAAACCTTATACAGATCTTCTTTAAAAACCCATCAGAAACATGTTACTACATTGTACATGATGGTACTAGACAAAGTGATACTTTGATGTCTGACATGCTACACACTGTAGGTAACAGAAAAGTCAGGACTGAGCTTGCACTTTTTTGTTGTGTAATTCTTGTAAAATAAGAAAATCTACCTGACGCATTTCCAGCAGTTACTGTTCCTGACCCATCTTTAATAAAAGCTGGCCTGAGTTTCTGTAACTGTTCTATTGAACAACCATGTCGTGGAAATTCATCTTTATTTATCACCTCTGTAAGAGAAATTATGAAATTTTCAATCACATTTATTTCCTCAGTTTTTTTTTCCAATTAGTCAAGACAACATTTGTTAAAGTTAACCAGAATGAAAGGAAATATTCCTTTTTTTTCCTTTTTTTTTGCTTAATTATATAATATTTAATATACTAATGTCGTCAAAGGTTTCATGTTAAGGATATATGTTACATGAACACGTATCAGCATTTTGATAGCAGCTTTTTAAATTACTAATAATCAATTACACTTTAAATTAATCCTACAAAGAACCTCTTATTTATCATCTTTTGATTCATAATTACTTTGATATAAATTACATTAATTTTACCAATGTTAAATACCCCCCTCAACCCCCCTCCCCTTTCCAAAAATAAATAATAGTTATTTATCTAATACAATATTCTTTTGTCCTAGCCAAATACAACTTACTTGTTCCTTGTCTGGTTGCTATGGAAACAGGAACTATTTCTTCCTCAAAATACCCAGCATTCTGTGCTGCCTCGCACTTCTGCTGAGATTTAAGTGCAAAAAGGTCTTGTTCTTCTCGGGATACATTATATTTCTTCGATACATTTTCAGCTGAAAAAAATTCAATTAGTGCATTGATGATTATGTTTGAAAAGTATTTTAAGAATCCATATTTCTTTCCGATAAAGAACAGTCTCTATTTTAAAATAAAGAATTTCTTCTATTTTAAAAATATTTTATGTTGTTCAAATTTTCAGCTGGGTGTAGAAAGGGAGGTAATCAGTAAAAGTTACAATATTCATGAAATATTTTTTACCTGTACAGAATTACCTTTCTTCAACATACCAAATAAACATGATAAATAGACAGATCTCTAAAGACTCAAACTTATACATTCCTTAGAAAAATTCATTAAGATTTTTTTTTCAAAGTTAAGAATTATTTTTGGTAAAATTATTTTCACCTGTGATTCCCATATGGTATTGGTTGAAGGTGTCTATAAGACCATCTGACATCATGGTGTCTGTGAGTGATGTGTCCCCAAATTTGACTCCATTCCTCATGTGAATGCAATGTGGAGCCTATAAAAGCAAAGGAAAGTAAGTAGAAAACTACACATGAGCATTTTTTCATAGAGAGTGCTACATGAAAATTAATAACCTACAAAAGTACCCATAGGTGACTATACTAAACAAGCATAAATCTACATGTACATGTATTTCTCACTACAGCAACTTACATGTAGCTACATGGTTTAATTTTGCTCAAAAGAATTTCCTTCGGTAGTATACCCTTACTGAATCAAAGATAGTGTACACTTCTACTTTTTTTTTTTAAGCCTTAAAAATTTGTGACAATCATTCAATAACTTACAACAAAGAAGAAGGAAATACATTTTTTTTCTTATGAATAAACAAGTACATTAAATTCTCTTTTAAAAGTACTACTCTATAATACGTGCTAGACTCATATTTTCTTGACCCCCAGCCACTACAATTTGAGCATCTCCTGTCTTGATGGCCTGGTACCCAAGAACGACTGCCCGTAAACCTGATCCACAGAGCATGTTAACACCACAGGCAGGAACATGGATAGGGACCCCTGCATTGATGCTGGCCTTCCTAGCAGGGTTTTGTCCTTGACCTATCAGATGAAAATATGAAGAATTCTATGTTATCTGCAATATTTTTCAATATTCTGCATTTATTCATTAACAAAATAAATTGATGGATATTCAAGGTAATAATTAATAAACTTGCATATAATTATGTGATGATAATTGATCACATTAAGTATCATTCACATATAGGTCCTCTTCTTTTTAATTATTGTTCCTAATGTGTTCCTAATGAACTTCAAAAATAGCTTACTAACAATATTTTGAAGATCATGAATGATAAGGAAAATTTGTTTGCTTTCATAAAATGTACCACTCTCTACCATCGGCTCATGCATTCACCTCTGTCGCTGGCTCGCGTATATCACAGTGATAAGCACAAGAAATAGTGCATTTAAAAAAATCATTTTAATTATATAACTGCACTAATGTTTGTCTTTAAGGTTGAT